CAGTGCCAGCCCAAAATTCACTGGTTGCATCACTGGGTATAGTCCTCAGCTACATTCTCTGGCAGGCAGTAGTGGTTCCTACAGCACTGCTATGACCTACTCACCAAATAGCAACTATAGTAAGGTAATAACTATGACAGCTCTTGTTGGAAGAAGTTGGAATTTACTTGTTAGACCAGGGGTGGGCAAAATGCAGCCCGGGGGACATATGCGGCCTGCCAGGCCATTCTATCCGGCCCATGGGGCCCCTGAAAAATTTAGAAAATTAGTATTTATCTGCCCTGGGCTGCTTGTCATGTGGCCCTCAATGGCTTGCCAAAACTCAGTAAATGGTCTTCTGCCCAAAATAATTGCCTGCCCCTGTGTTAGACCCTTGTAACGTACACTGCGGAACATGATTTTTGAATTGCCTAGATCCTTGTATATTTACACGTTTGCAAGAATGGAAATAGTATTCTGAGTTGGGTCATTCATTCTTCTTAATAACATTTTATATGCTTTTACACCATCTAACATGAAGTATGGCTCAGAATTTAAAGAAAACGCCTGAAACCCAAAAAAATTACGGAAGCCAAAGTACCATCTAGTTTAGTAGCAGTTACCACTGCAATGACAAGTTAGATAAATGGATGTGTAGATGAATAACTTGAATTTCTAGCTAAAGTTAATTAGGATTCCAGTATTGTAAAATGGCACAGTCATGCATTCTGTTTCATACAGGCATCTGCCTTCAGTCCCTCTCCTACTGGGTCACCATACCCCACCAGCATTGGACCAGTAGAAAGCAGTGGGCTGAGGTCTCGGTACCGTTCTTCACCAACACTATACAACTCCCCTACTGGCAAAGAAGACTACATGACAGAACTAAAATCATTAGACAGCTTCCTTCGAAGTGAAGAGGAGAAACAGCATCGAGTTCAGCTGGGTAAATAAATGACTGTAATATTCCATAGATTCACTTACAGATGTTAGGGGCTGGAAGGGACCTCTCGAGATCATCAGGTCCAGCACCCCTGTGCTTGGGCAGGAAAGACTGCTTGGATGAGATGACCCCAGCAAGGTGAGCATCGAGGCATTTTTTTAAGGTATCCAGAGTAGGTGATTGTACCACTTCTGGCGAGAATCTATTTGAGACCATGGACACTTGAGTTGTAAAGAAGCTTTTCCTTATGTCTAATCTGAAGCAGTCTTCTAGCACAGCATTTCCCAACCTTTTTCATCCAATGGCACACTTACATAAATAAAAAAAAAAATTGTGGCATACCGAGGGAGGGGAGGGGTGGTGCCAGACAGCCAGACGCAGAGCGATGGGGAGGTGGTACAGCACTCCCTCCCTCTCCCCCTGCTACTGCAGCGGACAGACACAAACAAGACATACGGGGGGTGTCGCTCCCCAAATGCCATGGCACACCTGTTCACGTCTGACAGCAGTTGGGAAACGTTGTTCTAGCAATTTATGACCATTAGTCCTAGTCTTCCTGTGGGGAGCCCTGGTGACCAGGTGTTCTCCCAGTCCCTTATATGAGTCCTTTATATATTGATGGGCTGCCACCAAGTCCCCTCTGAGTCTTCTCTTCTTCATGCTGAACAGACCCATGTCTCTCAGCCCCTCATTGTATGGCCTGCTCTCCATACCTCTAACCATACACATAGCCCTCCTTTGGACTTTCTCAAGCTTCTCCACGTCCTTCCTGAAGTGTGTGTGGTGTCCAGAACTGGACACAGTACTCCAGCTGTGGCCTCACCAAAACTGAGTAAAGTAGGAGGAGGATATCTTGTTTGAGATGCATCAATAGATGCATGCCAGTGTTTTGTTTACTTTGCTGCCTGTGGCATGATATTAGTGGCTCACGTTCATTGTATGGTCTATCAAGACCCCCAGGTCTCTTTCGGTGGTGGTGCTGGTAAGTGTAGCACTGCTGAGCTTGTAAGTGTGTTATGGGTTGTTTCTCCCCAGGTGGAGGACCTTACACTTTTCAGTGTTGAAAATCATCAGGTTTTCATCTGCCCACCTTGCAAACCGGTTCAGCCTGTGTCCCCAGCTTATCCTCTAGCGTGACTGCAGTCCCTCATAATGTGGTGTCATCTGCCAACTTTGCAGTCCACTTTTAACACCCGAGTCCAAATCATTAATGAACATGTTAAAAAGCACTGGTCCAAGTACTGAACCCTGAGGGATGCCACTGGTCACCAAGCGCCATGTTGACTCAGTTCCATCTATTATTACTCTCTGGCTCCTACCTTGGAGCCAGCTCCCCAACCACCAAACCATTGGGTTATCAAGGCTGTAGTTCTCCAATTGTACCATGAGCATGTCATGGGAGACCAAGTGAACTGCTTTTTTTGAAGTCCAAGTATATGACATCAACCTCATCTCCCTTATCCAGGCGACCTGTTACCTGATCGTAGAAGGAAATGAGTTTGGTAAGGTATGACCTGCCCACAACAGGGATTGAAGTCAAACATGGGCCTGTAATTCCCTGGATCCTCCTTCCTTCCCTTCTTGGACATGGGCACCACATTGACCCTCTTCCAGTCTTCTGGAACCTCTCCCAAGTGCCACAAATTCTCAAATAGTTTTGCCATGGGTCGTGTCAGGAAGTTAGCCAATTCTTGTTGCACTCTTGGGTGCAGTTTGTCCAGTCTTGCTGACATTTAAATGTCCAGCCTCTCTAGATGTTCCTTCATGAGATCTTCACCAACTGTTGGCGGGTGATCACCCCTACCTTGATCATCCTGTATCCTGTCAAGCAGGGTAGCGCCCTTGGATTGGTGAAACACAGACACAAAGTAATCATTTAGGAGTTTGAATTTCTCTTAAGTGTCAGTTGACAGTTGTCCCATTTTGTTCAGCAGGGGTCCAATGCTTCCCGTGTTTTTTTCTCTGACTTCCTGTGTATCTGAAGAAGGACTTTTTATTCTTCCTAATCACTATTTTTTTAGTGATGGAAAAAGACTTAAAGAGCTATATCTAGTAGGTATTCTGGTTCTTCTCACGTATATCAGATAGATGCCAGTATTAGCACAGTCAATTTAAGTCATTGATACCTACCTACCTTTTGAACAGCTCTCCCAAGGTGCTTTTTGAAGTCTGATAAAGAAGAATGAAGTCTTCCACTGAATAGATTAGAGGTGAAGCAAAGCTGAGTGAATTCTGCAGCCCTCTGCAGTACAGAAACTTGGGGAAACTTTTCTAGAGAATTTCTCTTCGCAAAGTTTGTTTGGCAGTAAACAGTCACTAACTATTTGTTTCCGGGGATAATTTCAGGGAGTTCAGATTCCAGCTCTCCTTCAAGCAGTCCGACATTCTGGAACTACAGCCGTTCCATGGGAGATTATGCACAGATTCTGAGGAAATTCCAGTACCAGCTGGCCTGCAGGTCTCAAGCTCCATCAGCACACAAAGATGAAGCCGACATGAGTTCTAAACAGGCTGCAGAAGAGGTATATAGAAAACTGAAGCGAACCAGTAGGGGAAAAGATACAATTATGAATTTTAAAATAAATATACAAAGGCTTGGATATAACTCACATTCACGAGGTTGGAAAAATGCCATAGTACTGAATTGGCATCATATAGTTTAGGGTGTTGGTTGGATCCACCCTGCATAGCCATTCTGCGGGCCACTGGACATATGGGGACATTGCCTGCTGCAGAAACTGGGACCCTTGAGGCCCAGTGGAAAGGGTAGTTGACAACAGGAGGGTGAGCGAGGGCTGATGCAGCCCCACTTGCCACTGACCCCATTGCCGCCCCATGTTGCAGCAGCCACACCGTCCTCCATGTCCCATGCAGAGATAGCACAGAGGGCATGCAGTGGAAGTTGTAGCTTTGGTTCTGGCATGAGAAGCATGGTAAAAGCCATAGCTGCACCGTGGGCCCTGTGCTGGACTCAGAGCTGCTGCTGCTGTTTGCGCCATGGTCCAGATCCTGGCCTAGGGTGCAAGGTGGGTTTGCCATCCCTGATACAATTGATAAGAAAGCTTTCTTTATGTCCACCAAACTCAAATGCAAACAGCTTATTTTGGAAATATGTTTGCCAGTAGAAAGCATCACTGCTTTATATGGTGTAAAATAAATAAAAATGGACTCCTGACTTAGCACATCAGGATTACTGCTGTGTGAAATTTATATTCATTCTGCAGGAAGTAGTGGAAGTCAGTAAATGCCCTTTGCCTTTTAACCATTTACCATTTTGACCAGATCTTCACAAATATACTAACTACATAGTAATATAACACAGAACTTACTGCCTAGCTTTTTGAGACTAGCAGTTAAACATCATCTTCACAATTCCTGTTGTGGAATAACTTTTGTCTGCCATTTTATACTATGGATAATTTTTTAGATTTATAAGTGTCCTCTTAACTGGTATGTAGTAGCTGTGAAGAAGCTAAACATACAACAAAAATCTTGCATACATATATACTCACAGAATTCTGAGAAGTATACTGCACATAAGAAATTAATGTATAATTGGGTCAGATAATAACATTTTCATCCCTTTTCTCTACTTCACACATTGATTCCTTTCCATCAAGATGCATCTTTTAGAAATCCTACTAGCTTAGACCAATTTTATACTAATACGTATAGCTAAAGGAATTGAAATAGTGCACTTAGATTTAGTACATTTAAGTTAGTTATACAATTCTCATAATATATCAAATGTGTCTATATAGCTATATCTATCTATAGATAATGAGTCTCTGATTTGGGTAGTCTATAAGGTGCATCTCTACCCTACCTTCTCCCTTATCATATATCCTGTGGGGTATGGCCATTCTAAAACCTCCAAGGTTTAATGTTTGTTGTAATTAATTTTAAAGATTACCTAGCTCCTTTAAAAAAAACAAACAAACCCTTCTTGGTATTCAGTCATTTTTTTGAGACCTTTGCAATAAGGCTTTTCCATTCTGTAACTCTATTTGCATAGGTTTGGGCAAGGGTAATGATGAATCGACAACTGCTTGATCACATGGACTCCTGGACAGCTAAATTCAGAAATGTAAGTATCAGCAATGCTCTTTAGAGACTAAAGCTTCAGTGCTTTTCCCTTGTTTCTACAGAACTCCTCTTTAGTAAAATTGAGCAAATCAGCATTTGTACAATTTTAATAGGAATCAACTTGATAGATTTTAATAATCTTTGATTCTGAAGAAAACTCTTGCTTTTGATTTGAATGTATTATATGAGAATCAGTACTGCAAAATGGAAAAATACCAAGCTGCCACAGATGGTAGGAATAATTCCAGAGTGTGTTTGAGGATTAGTCTGTGCTCACGCAAGTACAGACTAACATGCAGCGTACTCACAAGACAGCTGCTAAGGCACACGTTCAACCTGAACTCGTGCACTTATGACTTCTCTGTTTTGATGACACCCTGAAAACTTCAGATTGTAAAGTTCAGCCACGTTTGAGTTACAAACAGAAAGATCTTAAAATGCAGTGAAAATGGTCAGACTTGTTTTTCCTCTTCCGCAACTCAAACCGATGACTCAGTTTTCCTCAAACATTACAAAATTGTTCACCTAGACTCAGCATAAGCTTGGAAAATCCCAGCCCAAAGGTTGACTTTTTCCAAAAGTTCAAAACAGCTGAAAAATGCTAAAATCCAGATATAATAGCACAATGCTGTAGCAAATGGAGATTTAGTTGCATTTTAAAGTAAAATAAATAACTTACTGTCAGTTTGTAGCTTGTTGTAGATCACAGCATCCGTGAGGAGTGTCATTTTTAAGCCAGTTAGAAGAGCAGTAAAAACTAAGTAAACATTATTTGATGGAAGAAGAGATTATTGAGTTGGGAGAAGACAGGGCTATAGGAGGATTTCATAGTCTTCAAAGACAAAAAGTGTTGTTTTAAAGAGGATGATCAACTTCTGTGTTTCTACAGGGTACAGGATAAGAAGTAATGGGTTTAAATTTCAACAAGAGAAATTGAGGTTGGATATTAGAAAGAATTTTCTCACTATGTGGGTGGTTAAGCACTGGAACAGATTATATAGAGAAGTTATGGAGTTTCTGTCATTAGATGTTTTTTAGATGCGGGTCAAAACTATTTGGCTAGGATGGTCTACAAGTGGATGTTCCTGCTTTGAGGAGGAGATGGACTGAACGACCTCTGAGATCCCTTCCAGCCCTTTTTTTTTTTTTTTCCATTTTTTTATGATTATGATGCATATCCTCCATATTCAGTGGCGGATAATGATGTGCAGATGCTGAGGAAGTCTGGCCGATCCATTGGTCTTGAGTCCCATCAGCACACAAGTATCATAAATTAAATTCCTTCAGAGCACTTCTTCCTTCAAAACAGAGGTCAATTTATGCTTTCACATGTCCATAACTTACCTGTTCATGGATGACTTTCTGCATGTTCATAGCATCTGAGCTGTATTAATAAGACCGTCACTTGCAGATCAAGAGAAATGATCCTGCTGCTGTATTTGGCACTGAGGATGCCTCACTTGGAATACCGTGTCTAGCCTTAGGCACTGCAGTTTAGTTTGGATATTTGGAAGGTCTTTCTCACTCTGCGGATAGTCAAGCATTGGAGCAGGCTAACTAGAGAGCTTGTGGAATCTCCATCCTTGCAAGATTTAAGAGCAGGTTAGACAAACAGTCATTTAGGATGATGCAGGGATGGTCCTGCCTTGAACAGGGAGTTGACTAGATGGCCTCCAGAGGTCCCTTCCAGCCCTACTTTCTATTATTTTATGATCTTGTCCAGCTATCCAAAAAGCCTCTATCTTGATCTAGAGATGTTCTTTAGTCTAGATGTTTCTCATTGGACTCTTTGACATTTTTTAGAAGGGACTAAATAGTTGTTCAAGCCCCTACCTTAAAGTGGTACTCCACTAATACAATAAAATTATTTTTTGCCCTCTTCGTTGCATTTATTGTTCACTTCCTTACTTGCAGTCTTCACAGTAATGAAGATACTGCTTTGAGTAAGCTAGCATCTCATAGGTATTCTTGTTGCTTCTCACCTTTTCACTGTCTCTGTTTCTCCTAGTGGATTAATGAGACTATCTTAGTGCCACTTGTACAAGAGATTGATTCTGTGAGCACTCAGCTGAGAAGAATGGGATGTCCAGAGTTGCAGATTGGAGGTATAGATACGCTGCAGTTCATTTGGTTTGGCTTCCTTGATTACATGGGCTAAGAGCCACCCTGCCCCCCCTACAAAGCATCCTCCCATTGTACCATGCCACACTGCACTATGGGCCCTGAAACCCCCAACTGCCAGCTCCCTGGCCCCTACAGAGTGGAAGCTGGAGGAAGATGGTGAACTCGGAGCCCCTGGCAGAAGCAGCAGCTGGAACAGTTGGGGAATAGTGCCCAGGTGGGGGCCCATGGACCACAATTTAGCCACTCAGGGCCTGTGTGTTGGACACCCTTGCCTTATAGTAGCTATATTTGGAGCAGTCTGCTTGTGTATGCAGTCTTACTCTTTGGGCTCTTTACAATAAAGCTGCACTGTGCTTCATGTAAGGCAGGAGTTTGCAACATATGGCTGTGGGCTGGATGCAGCCCACAGAGCCTATATCCAGCTCATGGAGCCTCGGGGTTTTGCCTGTGCCCACACTGAGGCTGGGCAGCTTCCAGCTGTGTCAGGACTGCTACTGCTCCCCCTTCCCTCAGCTGCAGCACGGGCACAGCTTCCAGCCAGTTGGGAGCTACTTGCAGCTGGGATGCAGAGGTGGGAGCAGGAGGGAAGCGGGGAGAAGTGGCAGCGGCATGGATGGATCCAGTTTGCAGCTGCTTGGCCCCAGGGTAGCTCCCCACCCAGCTGGAAGCTTTACCTGCAGTGCAGCCAGGGAGCAGGGGGTGGGAGAAGGAGCAGCACGGGCCCTGCCTCCAGCTGCCTGGCCCTGCCGCTGATGTACTGCCAAGGCCACCCAGCCCATGTTTTAAATGTCAAATAGTCATCTCTTAAACGATGGTTCCTTGTACTGTGTACTGGGCTGTACTTAGACTCTCCAAGCCCTTCGCAAAAGGCATGGTCTTCCTTTACGCTCAGAGTGCCTAGCAGTTTTTATAAGCCATGAAAACATAAAGGACACCACCACAACAAATCTTGCTCCCACTGAAGTTAGCTCCCTGGAAACAGAATCGGGCACTCAGTTAATGTGAGTAATCAATCATACAGCATGCCAGTTATTCTTGGGACCTGTCCTCACAGTGCAACAAGCAAGCTAGCTGAAGAAGATACTGCCTCTTGGTAACTGTTATTACCTGGGTAAAGGAGCCTGTTCAGTGTTTTGCAGCAGCCAGAGATCACGTGTGCTGTCTCTTTGTCTTCCAGAAGCCAGCATTAGCAGTCTGAAACAAGCAGCTCTTGTTAAAGCTCCACTTATCCCCACACTGAATGCTATAGTGCCATACCTGGACCTTACTCCAAACCAGGAGTATTTGGTAGAAAGGATCAAAGGTAATTGGTCATCGTGCAGACTTAAAAATGTGCTTTGTCATAATTTCCCTGTGTCAGGCATTAGTGATTATCATGTCTGTCAGCAACATTTGAACTTGAGCCTCAGCAGGTAGATGAAAGAGGCTGCTTTTCTAATAGTGGAAGTAGGAAGTGGAAAATACATTTTCTTTTTTTTTTATCCTGATTTAATGGCAAGCGATCTTCAGGTAACTTTCAATATGCTCTAAAAACAAAGCTTTGCGTCGTTCACCTTTTGCATGTGTGCTTTGAATACTTGTTGGATTTAATTTTTTTTTTCATTACTTTTTCCTACCCTGCCTTAATTACGAGTAAAATTAAGTTGCCAATTTATATGTCTTTGAAAATCTAGTGAAGACTTTTAAAAAACTTACTGTACAAGTGTGGTAGTTGTTTGTATTATTGTACAGGACCATAGGTGATGCATGGTATCTAATACTGACATCAGAGGTTGCTTCCTTTAACTTCTTGCCCTGTGATAACTTCATACCTTTTTCCTTTAGAGCTTTCCCAAGGAGGCTGCATGAGTTCATTTTGTTGGAACAGAGGTGGGGACTTCAAAGGCCGTAAATGGGATACAGATTTGCCCACTGACTCTGCTGTAAGTTTGCACAGTTTGGCTTGGTATGATGTTAAAATGCACTATTTTGCGGTGCCAGTGGTAAGAATAGGAGGCAGAGATGCAGTATGCAGATCCTAAACCCCTCTTGCTTTACTTGGCTAATCCCATTGCACTCCGTGGGATTACATAGGAGAATAATGTAAACTGGATGTAGCCCCACATAGACCATGAAAATGCTATTGCATATCTTAATCCAGTGTCAACTCCTTATTTAGATGCAGCTGAAAATCCAGTGAGAGAGTTGTGTGGGGTCCAAGCCTGACTCGCTCTGTCTTCAGTACAGCAGCTGTTTTACTGCACTGAGAAACAATTAACAATTAAGTAAAACTTCTGCATTCAGATAACTCCTAATACAAGGAAAGCCCTTCATCTTGATTAAATGACTAATTCCCTTCACCAGAGCAGGTGGCAAATTAAACAGAGTTGAGAGAATAATAAATGTGGATTAAGTGGACTCTCTGCCTCATGCCCATTAGTTGAATTGTTTGCTGTGAAAATCTGTGTGAATAGCTCAGAGAAGGAGTACATCTCCTAGTGAAAGAGGGACTCGGAGTGCTGCTCAGCCCAGTCATCCGAAACACTTTTCATCATAAACACCACCTACATGAAAGTTCAAATGAAACAGCTCAAAGGTGGGAGGGGGGCGCAAAATAATCTAAGACGTTGAAAATAAGCTTTACAGGATGAGATTTTAAGGTGCTCAACTTCTTCAGCATGTTGAGTAGAAGGCTATGAAATGATTGTGTGTGCAAGGTACCCACACATGGAGCAGAGATGAGGTAGCAGGAGGCTTTTTCGCCTTGCTGAGAAAAGCATGAAATATGTTTGAATGCTGGACACTCATCCTAGGGAAAGGGCTGGATTTCTTAGCTATGCAGGTTATTAAGCAGTGGAACAGCCATGACTTTCTACATCTTTCAACAGAACTTATAGATAGCCTTTTAAAAGATGCACTTTAATCCATCTTCTGGGAGAAATTCACAGCCAGAGTGTACAACGGAAGCAGGCTACATGGCTGTGATTGACAGATGGTCCTTTCTGGCAGTCTTGTTCTTGATGGGCCTTGAGAAAAGACTAGTGTGCATTGCCCAGTGTGCTTGTTAACACCTGGAGCTTTGCAATAGGACAGCAATTAATAATGGATTCCAGGTTTTCAGGGTGTTAAACCGCTCTCTGCAGGGGGAAAGAAAATTCATCCCTTCACCCCATTGCACAACAGGCCAGATATATTCTGCTACTTTTTTCTTTTTTTGAAGCATCAGGATTTGACCACATTTTGCTCATGAATCATACAGACCATCTTGGCGATGTTCTGCCTTCCTCTGTAACATGGGGGATGGGTCACATGCTGGGATCTTCTGGGTATATCTCCCCATATCAATTCCCTGCTGTTGCCAGAGCACCTTGGTGGCACTTTGGTTTCTCCTATCCTCTGCCTCTGGAACGCAGTTCAGTCGGCTGAAGATTGAATTGCTTTTGTCTGACTGAAGCCTTTTAGCTTAATATAGGTGCATGTGGGTGAAATGCAAGCATCCAGCTAGATGCTGCAGTGGTCCCTTCTGACCTTAAAGCCCTGTGGCAATGAGTTAAAAATACTTGTCAGAGAACTGACCCAGTGAATACAACCTGAGTACAAAAAATCACTACTAGCTCTCCGACACGAATCTGCAAGGGAAGATGCTTTACATCCATACCCTGAACCAAGTGGGAATCTGCCAGCTATCAAAGGGAAGCCCTCATTGACACAAGGCCAAAAAACATCCTGGAATTCAGCCTGTCTTTTCTTTCCAATACCAATCAGAGGAGATGTGCATTGAAGAGACTATCATGAAGTCCTAAATATCTTGTCAGTCTAAACTTCTTGCTTCGTATGTAGACACCCAAATGAGTTACTAGTCTAAACATACAGTGAAAATTAAAAAGGAAGGTGCCACTGGTTCTAGTTATCTTCCTTGGGGGAAGGGTAGAGTTGATCAGATTGCCAGGCTTTTTTTTCTGCAAAACACTTGCCCCCAGGAGTTTACAGAAGTGCAGTTGTTATAGCTCTGTCTGTGTAAAGGACACCCTAACAAATGGTAGTGGAAGGGGGTTGAAATAAATAACAGTGATTTGTGGTCAGTATTTGCTACTGAGTTTTGAGATGCCGGTGTGAAAACACCTTACATGTGAACCTGGGCGTAGCACCTGACATACAGAAGTGATCTGTCCCCATTGTGACCAATATTTCGTTCAGAAGACAGATGAAACTCAACATCTTGCATCAATATTCAGACCCATGCAGTGCCTTGGTTTAAATGCTAAATTGTCTTGCCCCTTTGAAATTTGCCTGGTTAAATCACAATTGCAGTAAAGCCACCCACTCTCAGATTCTTTAATTAGTAAATGAGCCTATTAAAGATTAATCGCTTTGTTGTTGCACTTAGTTTTACAGTCTCATGGGCACAAAATTTTGTATTTTTCCTCCCAGATCATTATGCACGTATTCTGCACTTACCTTGACTCCAGGCTGCCACCTCATCCTAAGTATCCTGATGGCAAAACATTTACCTCTCAACACTTCGTTCAAACACCAGATAAGCCAGGTATTGGCATTCTTGTATGGCTTTGTATCCATTTGTATAGGTGGTATTTACTGCTTGAAGCAGGATGCAATGCTCAAGTCCGTTTTCTCTCAAACTTTTCCTTCACAGACATTTCCAATGAGAATGTGTTTTGCATCTACCAAAGCAGCATCAATCCTCCCCACTATGAGCTTATCTACCAGCGCCATGTCTACAACCTGCCCAAGGTCTGAACATGTTGGCTTTCTTCTGATACTCAAGACGACGATGCGCTAGCTGAACACTCTGGCTCAGGGATTGGCAACCCCTTGCACACATGCCAGAGCATGGCACACAAAGGCATTTTGGTTGGCATGTGCGCCTTGGGGCAGACTGCAAGGACGAGGCCAGGGCTGCAGTGCCACAACAAGGATTGGGCCCCTTGTAGCTCCCCCACCATCCTGGAGGCACGCATACCCCCACTGCTGGCAACAAGAGCTGGGGCTCTGCAAACCCCAGTGCAGCTGCTTGCACCCTTGCTGCCACCTGCCACGAGCAGCCTGGGATCCATGGCAAGCAGCAGGGGCCCGTCCAGAGCCATGCCGGCTGTGGCAGATAGCTGGGATGCTGCAAGCATCTTCCCCAGGGTCCATGGAGCCCTGGCCCAGCTTGTTGCTAGCAGCAGGTGCGTGCATATCTGGTTCAGATGGGAGGGAGCTGTGAGGGGCCTGATCCTTGTTGTGGCAGCACAACAGGCCTCCTCTCTGCCACCCACCCTGAGGCATGTACCCACCACTGGCAATGAGCCAGGCCAGGGTTTCACTGCCCCTGGTGCAGCTGCTTGCACCTCCTGGCTGCCTGCTGGAGCCAGCCCCAGGCTCTGGGCAGGCCCCTACATCTTCAAGTAGAGGTTGCAGATGTTTCTGGTACTCTAGCCAAAAATGTTGCCGCCCCTTGCTCTAGCTGACCTCAGCTATTAAATTTTATTGATTAGTCAATTTTATTGAGTAGGGAAGTTGTCTTTGGAATATCAGAGAGCTTAGCGCAGAACAAAAATATGACCATGATCTAATGCTAGCATGTGGCCTAAATATGCTATTAACATAAAGTGCCTGAGTAGAGTACCTAAGTGATACCTTCCCCTGTTACACATACATTATTAAAGGAATATGTTTAAAACAGATTAGCTAAACCAGTGTTCTGTTCTGATTCCCTGGTGGCTGCCTCTTAATTGCAGGGGCTAGTGCTGGGAAAACTTCTCATTAAGCTGAACCTCTGCTACATGTTCATAAATGCAGTGGGATGTCTGACCGAACCTGGGACCCTTGTTGTAGAAAGGAATGAAAATTGTTTCAGCCTTTAAAATAAATGGTCATAATCCACCCTACAAAATAATTTCATGTTGTATTTACCTAAGTGGAACAAGTGAACAGTATCCCAAAACTAACTTGATTCCCAGAGGTTTGCTTTGACAAAGATGCCCCCAGTGCAATTTTGTAACAGTGTAGGGCACCACTATACCGAAACTTCAGACAGGAAATGAAAGCTGTTAAATTAGAAATTAGGCAGAGTGCTGAGGCTGAATATGTTATATGTGACATAATCTTCACCCTCTTTTCTCCTTCTGTGGATTCAGGGCAGAAACAACATGTTCCATACCTTGCTAATGTTCCTGTACATCATAAAGACGAAAGAATCTGGAATGCTTGGGTAGGTATTGAGTGCTGTTTCCCTGCACCTCATGCAGACTTTGAACAGTAACTGTTCAAGCTCCCAAAAAGCAGTTTAGCTCAAGCTCCTACATAAGCAATCTGTAATCGTCATTGACTCCAGTCAAAGAACACTGAGCATCCGTTTTCTTTCTGCCTCTTCCAACATTGCTGGCTATCCCCCCTGAGCTTATGTTGTAAAGCTCAACCTAACTCAAAATGTGCATTTCTAACAGTAATACAGATATTTTGTTCTTCTTTTCCAAGCATCAGACTAAGACAAGGGCCTCCTTTTGATCTTGGGTATAAATCTGTACCTCCAAAGCCTGCCTCCATTTTCATTTAGTTTCCAGTGACCGTTAAGTTTGCCGTTCAGGATGACCTCTTCAAACACAAGAGCTCTGAACTGAACTGCCATGGAGAAAATTCAGCTCCTGTGTTCCAGAAGATATTAATTCATAGCAGAGACTGAAATATGCTACTTAGAAGCATAAGGGAGCTGTTTTTTACCAAGCAAGTTAACTTCCTACAGAAATCTGGGATAGGAAATCTTAAGTTTGGGGAGTCCTAAAGAGTGCCAAATGGATTAAGCAAGGAAAATTAGCTCCTCTTTGAAATAAAAGTAGACTTTATTTTAAAACTTCTTAAATTCATGCAGGCATTCATGTGCATAACAAAAAAACCCCAAGTTTTCTACTGCTTCAGTGATTGGTGGAGCCTGCTAGGGAACGCTGTCTTCTCTGTACTAAATGACTGGCTAACTCTGCCCTGAAATAAATGTCATTTATAGATAAGCATAGTTATTGTCATTGCCCCGGTATCTCTGTTTTTGGATTTATATCTTTTATTATCATCTCTACAGGCGAGTAAATCTTGGCTTATCGGGAGTGAATGTTTTGTGGATTTTTGGAGAATAATACCTGTGTTTGCTGTAGCTGGCCTCCAGCTTAAATGTAAGAAACACCTCTGCCTCTGCGAAGATAACTGAGCAGCTTAAATACACTCGTTGCCTTGAACATAGACTTGCTGTGGGACAAAATACTTACTTATCTCTGCTTTGTGGACAGAGGAGATGTTTACATTTCATATTTTGTTCTTGTGAGAATATACTTTTTTTTTTTAAACAATTTGAGCGTGGAAGTGCTCCAAGTCGCTGTGATTCCACATCTGATGCCTCTCTACCAGTTCCTGCCTTGAAACATACTTGACAAGCCTCAACCGTTCTTTTAACTGAGATGCTTTTCAGAGCTCATTGCTGTGGCTACTTCACTTAGATACAGCCCCCTACACCAGCAATTAAACCTGGTGAAGGCAGGATCCTGCAGTACAACTGGGATTGCCCAGCTACGGGTGCACATTGCTGTTGATTTCTACTACGGTGCAAATGCAAGATCCACGAGCTCCAAGGGAAGCTGCATGGTAACCAGATTTCTCTTGTGCTCAAGATGTTCAGAGAAACTGTTTGTTAATTAACATCTTTATCATATCTGATCAGAGAGGTTCATGGCCATCCTCGCAGGTGCCCCGTATGCAGGATTTTTCTAAGACCACTACATTTCTAAGGTGACTGCCCTGGAGAGATAAATGAAAGGAAGCCTCACACCTAACTCACTAGTCAGGCTTCACCAGTTTGGATTGCTCTCAAAAGAACTGAGGTGCCTTTTAAGCTTGACTTTTTTTTTGAGTGCAGTGACACATGACTTGAGCGCAGATGCTGTGGTACCCCAGCTTCATTTACTTTTTTAAAACTTTTTTTTTAAAAGTTCTCACATTGGTGTTTCAGCTACTAATCCTTGATTTTTTTTTCAGGGATATTTCTGTGAGATGTAAAAACCACTCTAGAATGGAAAGGGGTCTCTTATGTGCTTCAGGGCACTTTAGGATGCTTACATGAGAATATCCCTAGGAGCACAGGTACATATTCTGGTCCCAGCTGATCTTCATTGCTTGGAATTTCTCTTTAACCGAGAGAAATGGGCACAGCTTGGCTGGGAAATGCTCACAAACCTCCTGGTGTTCCCTCCTCTGGTGCTGAGAGTGATTGCCTACAAGCAAGAATCAAACTGGTGACTTGATCTCCTGTCTTCCTTGGGTGCCACATCACCTGGTTGGATCATCAAATCAGCACCCATGTCATGTGCAAGATCTGCTCCCTTTACTAGAAGCTTATATGATGATGGATGAGGATCTTCTGGTTTTGGACATAACCCAATGTAGTGGTTGACAGTTATCTAAGCAGTTGTGCGTAATGCAAGCTAATTGCTTGTTAGAAAACCAGTTTGGAAAAAAAAACAGGTGCTTAAATGTGTTTACAAGGTGTGTTCCTAAAGCCATTGCAATTCCTGGTGAAACAGGAAGTTTTAAAAATGTGTAGTTTTTAACTCTTTTTATATTAGGGAGGATGTATTTCAGAAACCCTCTGGGAGGGGTCTTCATCATTCACTCCTCTGAAGTGTGAGTTTATAACAGGTGTGCCTGCTTAGTTTTACCCATCAGCTCACGCTGGCCAGGAAATCCAGACATTTTCATGCCACTCCAAAGCGCAAAAACACTGAAATCCTGCCAAAAATACTCATCCAGGGTTCATTAAATGTGCTGCCTGGATAGACATGTGCAGAGCATACAAAACCTGAATGAGCTGTACTGTGACTTCATGTTCCTTGTACCATGTTTCCATTTTTGAATGAACTGTGGATTGCCTGCGTACACAAGTATTTAGAAAGAACAGCGTTGGCATTTTTCATGTGCTTGGTCTTGTTACCATTCATTTATTGTTTTGGGCAGACACCTGGCGTTTTTTAGCATCAGCTGGATTCCTGTTTGTTGTAGGGCCTACAAATTGTTGCAGATGATACTTTTGCCAAAAAGTTGAGAACGTTACTTGGAGAGCAGACTGTTAAGAAAATGTTCGATTCAGTGCCTGTATTAAATGGGGCTGCCTTGTTTAAACGTGTGTGTGGTTTTTGTGCAGTAACATCTCTTGTCCATACTGATGAGTTGTGGACTTATTCCCCCCCCGTCATGCAGTTTACTGTCAGAGTTGCATGAGAGTTGATCTGCAGTAATAAACCATTAACCTTCAGTGCGATGGGCTGCGTGGCTCCAGTACTGGAGTCCGGGTAGCACGTTTTAGTTGGGGCCGATAACAGAGAACTGATGAAATTTGGAGCCTATGTATTGGAATCCCTTTGCAAAGGTTTTGTACAAAGTGAAGGGGGTATATTGTAGTGAGTTGAACCAGTAAAGTTACTTCATGTAGCCCACTTCGCTTCCTGGTTTAACTTAATAAAATAAAGGCCTCATGCGGTAACATGTATCTGAGGGTAGAGAGTAGTTTTAACATTCACCTTCCATCCTGGAGGATGGCGCAGCTAGCAGCATTCAGTGGCTGCAGTTTTAAAGCATCTAGTGTAAAAACATTTGGTGGGTTCCTTTGAACTTGGAGGTTATTTCTTCTTCTCCTATGGTCACTAAATAGTTTTGTACAAGTGCTACGCTACTGAAAGCAGAATTCCTCAGTCATTCAGGTTTCCAACCCAAATAAAACAGGACTTCACCCAGACAAGTTCTTTATACAAGTATATATCAGGGCTGACACCTTGTCCCAGAGATATCTTCCTGAAGGCAAGAAAACAAACTAGTGTGAAGAAATATGGAAAACAAAGGACATTTGTGATCAATGGTGTAAGGGAAGATGCCCCAGTTTTTATAAAACTTGCCACTGCTCCCCTGGAAGTGCCTGCTACCTGAAGAACAGTTACTGCTCTAACACTGTAACCTGGTTTTGTCAGTAAAAGTTTCCTGCTGCAAGGTGTGGCACTGAAAATAAAGAGCTTAAACTACTGTATTGACTTGCAGCCTCAAACATGATTTGAAGGCAAGAGGATGTGTCCATGTCCCCCCACCCCCCATGTTAAATGGGAAAAAAACCCTTGCCTTGGAACTGAGTAAATACAATATGAACAGGACATGGTCTTAGTTCCACACATGGTTCCCATCCAGTTCCTAGTGAATGGGTGTCCAGCCCCAAAGTAAATGCATCTTGGCTCTTTGGCGGTAACCTCAGGAGAAGGCCAACCCAAGAATGGCTTTGGGACAAATTCACGTCCTTTGCATGGTCTCCTTCACCTCGCGTCTCAAGATCTTTGCCCATGATGCAGCTGCAGCCACCTGCTATCTAACACAGGCTCGGGTTGATCTGCATGTATTAAACACTGCTTGTCTTCCTAGGCTGAGCTGCCTGGAGGGCTGGCTCTGTCTCACACATTTGAAAAATACCTTGCCTTGGAAAGCCAAACAAGACATCCCTGTAACCTAAGATGGAGCAGGGTTCTGCACTGTTTAGTGCCTTTGCTGTGAATAAAGCCTCCAACTCCGGTAGGAGAAATGCATCTCACAAAGGAGCAATGTGAATGCCAACTGCTTCATTCAAAATGTATCTCGCTGCATCCTGACAGTCTGTCCCAACGGTTGGCCCGCGCTGAAAATACTTTGTTCACCTCTTACTGAGCCCTGTTCAAAACCTTTGCTCCTCTCTTCCCTTCGCATTGGGAAGAGACAGTATTCCTGCCATCTGCTCTCGCAAAGTTAAAGAAGGGAAACAGTGGGTGCATCTACATGTTCAGTAATGCGCAGTGCCTGTTGTGCATTCAATGTAGTACTTGCAAAAGGAAGTAAATGTGCAGTAGGCTGTCCTACTCTGCATTAGTGCGATCACATTTTGTTCATGATGGTTAATGTGCAGTAGACTAATGTGCATTTAGTGTAATAGTCCAGTTTTTGCTGTGCTGCAACGTGCAGCCAACCAGTCTATGCGTTAAGTGTCATAGTTTCTAGGGTCGGGAGGGACCTAAACAGATCTTTAAGTCCAACCCCCTGCCCTGGGCAGGAATGAGTGCTGGGATCATAATACCCCAGCCAGATATCTATCCAGCCTCTTCTTGAAGACCCCCAAGGTCATGTAGAGTGACCCCCCACACTCACGTGCAGTGTTTTGTCTTTGTCCAGGATTTAATCCCTTTGAAAGGAAAAAATCTGCTAATACATCTGTTTTTTCACTCTAAACGTGTTTCTTTCTAAGAAGGTCTATCTAGATGGTCTTATTCACCAGCCAATTTCTGGTACCGCCATTGGACTTACTAGACAGTACTCAGTGGGCACGTCTACATGAGACATTAAATGCGCAGTAGACTCATTCTAGTGTGCATTAGTGCATCATGGCAAAAGCTGTGCTATTGCACTAATGTGTAGTAGAATGAGTCTAGTGCACATTAGCATCACTACAAAGGTGTGCGCCAGTGCTACTGCGCAGTAGTTCAGTAGAGTTAGTCCCTGTTATTATCCCAGAGCTAGTACCTGTGCGTGGAGTTAGTACCTGTTATTACAGGTACTAAACTTAACGTGTCATAATTATGGCACATTAATACACACGTAGATATGCCCAGTGTCCCATGCTTATACTACCCATAAATGTTTTCCCCCAAATCATTCATTTTTTTTACTGACTTAGTGGTGTCCACATGCAGTCTGGATTGCACGCGGAAAGCCATTCTGTTTTTTCGAGAGGACTGTAGCGTACATTGGAATAGAAAAATTGAATCTGTCACGATAAATGTGAGGACAATCAATCCTGGTTGGAGCCGTGAAATACTCTTAGTAATATGCAGCTGCTGTGTAGAGCTATACATGCCTCTCCACAGATTTCATGGGCCAAACATATCCCTTGCTTTGAGTCATGCTACTGACGAACTTGCCCCATCTGCTCCATCAGAGCTGTGACCAGAGGAAGGAGTGATGGCAACAGGGATCCCCGGCTGCTTGCGGCCCCCTCTGTAGTGCCGCTAAGCCGTGATACGGCATTACAGCCAGCCACAAAAGAGCTGCCATATCCCAGCCGGTCTATAGCCTGACACCGCTAAGCATCAATAGCTCAGGTGTTGGAAGCAGCAGGCCCCGCTGTCCCTGTGAAATTCCGGGTGGCAGAAGAGTAAAAAATCACAACCTTCTCGATGGCCGCAGATTTGCTACTGTACAGGCTCCACCTGCTGAAACCCAGAGGCAAGATGATGTCGCTGCCACTGCATCGACCGCTCTGCTCTTGCGTTGTCCCTTTCTTCCCATCTGGCCACATTGGAAACGATCCCTCTTTGCTCAGTGCATCGTGTACGGCTCTGGTTGGATGGTATCAGCATGATTATTAACAATCAAGTCTCACGTTTCAATAAGATGAAGGAGTTGAGACCCGAGGCAGGGTCTTTCCCCCTGGCTTATACCCCTGAAGCATCCCAGTCCTGCCCCCGCCTGGCCTGGGGGCTGCCACAGAGCCGGCGGCTGCGAGCCCCACTTGAAGCGGGCTCTTTTACCCCAGGCTGCGGAGGCCGCGGCCCACCTGCGCCGGCCGGGGCGGAGATGCTCCGCGCCGCCTTTAAAGTGCGCCGCCCGCCCGCCCGGCTCTTGTGTCCCGGCGGCAGCGGCGGCCATGGGCAGCGCGGCGGAGCGCGGGCGGCGGCGCTACACGCACGGGGCTTTCGGTGAGCGGGGCCGAGGCCGGGGAGGAAAGCCCCGCACCGCTCCCGCGGGCCGGGCTCTTCCCTCAGGCAAACTCGGGGCGGGAGGCCGGCCCCTGCAGGCGCGTCTCCCTGAGGGGATTGAGTGGGCCCCGGTCGCGCGGGCCTCGGGGGTGGCTCGAGGCCCCCGGCAGAAAAACGCCGGTCGGCTTTTCACTGCCTTCCCACTACGGGGAAATAAGCGCTGTCTTCCTGCCGCAGAGACGATGCCGGCGCGGGGGGGTCCCCGTGCGGTCTCCGGGGCGGCCTCGTGAAGCGGGGCGGCGCTGACGCCCCCCGCCGGAGGAGACCTTGCTCTAGGCCGTGCCTGCCGGCTTCTGCACCTGCGCGCCTCCCTCGTCTCTTGCCCACCTGCCGGGCATCTGAAATCATGGGTATTTCACTCACTTGTTGGCGGTTTGAGTCGCTTGGGCCTTCCCTGCTTGGAGACTGCCAGCCGCAGATGATGGGGAGACTGCTGCTCGAGGCAGGGCCGACCCTGTGCGGACCAGGCGAAGCAGTGCCTCTGCACTCTCCTTCCCGTCATGTCATGTCGCTGGCAGGGCGAGGCATCTGCTTGGATGCTCTAAACATGCAGGGTTATAAAAACAGGGCTCGAGTCCCTGCGCTGAAGCAGGTGCTTGGTCAGGAGCAGCAGCCAGGTGTTTGGCTCGTCTTCCTCCTAGCTACAGGCCGGACCGTGGCTGGGGTGGAAGAGGCTGCAATAGCCACGTCCTGTCCCGGCGTGGGGGTGAGTCTCACGGTCTCCCTTGCTGTGTCCTTTTTCAGACTTCCCGAGGGAATTTGACCACAAGCCCGATGACCACCGGAGGGGGTCGCTCTGCGACCGGCAGTGTGCGGCCATCAACAACACGCAGGGCGACCTTGGGGACATGCACTCGGGGTCTCATCAGCACAGCATCATGACACCCAGGATCCTGCCAGGTGAGCGGAGGAGGGAAGAGTGGGCTACAGATGCCTCGTGTGCCATGCTGGGGGGACGTGGTCCCTACTTCAGTCACTGTGCCGATTACCCAGGGCCCATCGCGGGACTTGTTGGAAGCTGAGAGGGCTTGGTCTCTTCTGCTGGGGTCACACCAAGAAGCAGCCTGGACGCTCCTTGGTGCAGATGAAGGGGACGTTGATACCACAAGCTAGAAATACATGTGGTGGTGATGCCCTTCCTTCTCCCATTTCTTTCTTCCCCTCTGGATTATGTTACCATTTGACCTAAATTGTGGCTCTCGGGTGTCCTTGGTTCAGTGCTCTCCACAATCTGGCAGGCACCCAGAAAGGGACCCGAGCCATCCTGCCCTGCTCCAGAGGCCCCAAAGCTGGCTGCTCCATCAGGTGTGAGCTGTTAGCAAGGCTGCTGCATCTTGCCAACCCAAAGGAGGGTGATTCTCAAACTTTGCTATGGTGCAGACCTCATCTCCATGAGAAACCTGGGTCTTGTGAACAGTCCTGGGGTTACTGCAGTAGTGTTTTTTTTTCCAAACATCTGCCCTCTGTCCCTCTTCTGGATCTGTGGAGAGGGCTGGTTTCACTTCTGCCTTCCTCCACCTCTCTGATGTGGAGCCAGGATGGTGCTGTGCTGTGCTGTGCTGTTGGTGGGATCCCAAGTACTGCAAAACTGCTGGGCTGCAAGCTGTCGCTCTGCGATCTTGGCTAACCCAGGGTAAGTCATAACTGGGTACCTTCCCACTCTCTCCTGCAGTGATCTCCACACCAGCCTGCTACCAGCAGCTCTCGGACGAGTTGCCAGTCTGTGACAGCTGCCCCTTGAAAACTACCATCATGGCAGAAAATGAGGTGGAAGCTGCCAAGCTCTCCAACAACTACAAGGTCAGCTCGGCCTCCTCCCCCTCGGGCTCATGGCTGCTGGTCCCATCGTCCTGACCGCTACTTTCTGGCTTGGATGTGCCTGTGCACCTCTGTTCTCTGGGGCAGGGCCCTCTCCTTGCTGCACTGTTGTTGCTCCAATCCTCTGCAGGGGGGAGCCTGGGGTTCCTAGAGCCTCAGTTTTTTGTTAAGCAGATGCTTTCCCCTGGGAGCAGACTCTAGGCTGGTGCTGTCTGCTCAGTTGAACCTGGGTAGTAGGAAAAGACTCCAGCATTGGAGCTGGAAACACAAAGCCTCTTCCATAGCTCCTTGCTAGCTGGAGTTGAAAGAGCTGGGCCTGGCCCTAGCAGAGGGGAGGCTGCAGCAGTATCCCAAAGCAACCTGTAGGCAGATGTGGCTAGAGGAGCAATAGATATTAGGGTGCTTCTGGGTCTGCACTGGGTACCCAGGACCAGTGACAGGGCTTAGCTTGCCAGTATAACCTGGGCACAATCGCTACCAGTATTTTGGGGGCTTGGGTCGGCTCCACTCCACCTGGAGGTGGTGACAACACGGCTGTAACAAACTAAACATGCACCCTGCTATGCTGTGAGGATTAGTAGCAGCTGGGTGATGGGTATCTGGCTGCAAACAGGTTCCAATAATCAACTTGATTGATCGTGGGGCATTATACTAATGCACCTCCCAGATTGTCCTTGTGTGGCCCTCCTAACATCTCACTTCATGTGGAGTTGGACTCCTTTAACTCCTATTACAAGCTGCTGCCTGGTTTAATTGTTGGGATGTGGCAGAAGCTGCTGGCAAATAGATGCGCTTCTTCATTGATGGGAGAAGCGCAAACATTCGGAGCGATCAAGTTGAAATGGGGTCACTTCCAGACTGGACCCTAGGAGTAGGGAGCTGTATGAATACCAGCTGTTGCCCGTGTCTTGTGACCATAGTAGAGTCCCTTTTTGCAGTCTGATTTGTAGCTAGCTCCATGGGTGTATGTGTGAGACTGGGATGGGCCAGGAAGGGCTGTTAACCCCTCCTGCAGGTAGGAAAACTGAGGTCCCAAGGGACTAAGCAACTTCCCTGCTTCCCCAGGTGCTCTTAGGGAAACTGAGCTTGTCCCAGACCTCTCACTGGCTTCATTTTACCCAAACCAAGATGCAAATCACTGATCCTTCAGAGCAGAATATCCTGAACATTCTTTTGCAGGGAAAGCTCCTACCCAGGGTCCTGGAAGGAGATAACACTTCACTCCAGCCTGTGAGACAGGGCTGCTCCTGCTTTCTGAGCATTAGCTGATTCTCAAACTGCTGAGTTTGGTTGGTTGGTTGTCCTTTTTTTTTTTTTTTTTTTTTTTTTTTTCCTTTTAACCATGCAGGGG